TCTGCTTTTTTTGTTTGGGGGGGGGGTCCGGTCGTGGGGCCTGAACTCTGGGCCTGGGCACTGTCCCTCAGCTCATCAGCTCAAGGCAAGTGCTCTACCACTTGAGCCACAGCGCCACCTCCGGCTGTTTATTCTGCTTATGTGATGCTGAGGAATCGAACCCAGGGCCTCAGGCATGCAAGGCAAGCACTCTACCACTGAGCCACCATCCCAGGCCCATCCTTCTACTTTGTATACCTGCCCCCCCCCACCACATGTGACCTCCAAGGCCCAGCTATATAAGGTAAAGTACCCAAGCTTATAGAGGCTTTAGCGGAAGAGGGAAAATGCATTACAGATGGTGAAATTATTCAGGAAGCTATTAGACCATTAGGTCAAAGGGCTGACTGTAGGAAAACTTTTCCAATAGGGGATAAGATAAGTCATTCATAAAACTTCTATAACTGTATATCTTAAACAAATCACACAACCATTTTGAAATCAAGCCTGTTGTTAGTTTTCTGATACTGGCAACAATGCTTAATAAGAAATGTACTCATTACCTTGCTCATGTAACTGTAACCTCTCTGTATAGTATTTTCACAATAAAAAACTTATTAAAAAGAAATAAATAAATAAGTAAATAAATAAATACTAAGTTAATGAATCGTAAAAAGAAAAAAAAAAGGTTGTTTTAGCTTAAAATTTAGAAGTTTCCAGTCTATAGTCAGGTGGACCCAATGTTTACAGGCTTGTAACAGTACACTATGGGAAGAGTGTGGGAGTCTAGTAACAGAACCACCTAATGGCCCATGGCTAGGACATATAAGAGGAAAAGGCCATGATCTCAAAAGTCCCTTTATTGTGCCCTAAAATCTCCCACTAGTCCTTGAGTCTTAAAAGTTCTGCCACTTACCTGAGGGGCCAAACTCGGGGCTAAGCCTTTGAGAGACATTCCAGATCCAAACTGTATATTCAATTATTTTGTTAAGGACGCTGACTCAAAGAAAAATTAAAGTCATTGTGCTGCTTCATCAAATCTTTTCTACTTTGAAAAATCATCTATGTATATATATGTATGTATATTGTATGCATAATATACATGCATTTATACACACATTTACATATAAATAGATACATATGTATGTATATATGTATGTGGGTGTTTGTGTGTGTATTGGCTTTGAGGGGAAGATTAAAAACATGCAAAACATCATCTAGGCTGAAAAATTATTTAGAAACTGTTTTACTCAAAATAGCCTCACAGCGTGTAGGTAACTGCTAAGAAATGCAAGCATTAAGCATAGAAACACATGTTCATTGTAATTTTGGTTTGATTGCAAATTTTATTACCTGAGTAATTTGACACAGGTGCCTTACTTTCCGTGAGTGTAAGCATCTTCTTTGCGTTCGAAGTCTTGATTATTTTTGAAGAGTCAGTTAACTATTAAAGCATTTTATTTAAAAAGCAACTAATTTCTGAAAGAAATAAATGGTCTACTCCATAGTTAGTAAAGGGCAAGTTAACTTAGATGCATTGATTAACCCTACCTTTATTTTTTTGGTTGTTGAGTTTAAGGAAGGGTGCTCACTTCTACTTTTAGAAAAGAATGACTGTGGGACTGGGAAGGTGGCTCAGTGGTAGAGTGCTTGCCTTGCATGCCTGAGGCCCTGCATTCGATTCCTCAGCACCACGTAAGCAAAAAGAAAAAAGCCAGAAGTGGCACTGTGGCTCAAGTGGTAGAGCACTAGCCTTGAGCTGAAGAGCTGAGGGACAGCGCCCAGGCCCAGAGTTCAGACTCCACGACCGGACCCCCCCCCCCCCAACAAAAAAGCAGAAGGAAGAGCTACATTTCCTTTCAGCTGGTGATTTTCCTTGTAAGTATAATTTGGCATAGCTGTGGAACCACAAGTTTCAGGGTTGGAAAAGAAAGTCTGGTGTAATTAATGTACTAGGTCAAATTACAAGCCTACATAACCACACACACACACACACACACACTTAATTGAATGTGTGTAGTAATGATCTTGATACCCACTCATGTCCTCAACACCAAAAGTTGAATATACTGAGATTTTTCTCTTCTTCAAGGCTGATATAAAAACAGATAAATTCTGAGTTCTTTTAGTCTATAACTCAACTCTTGAACTCCCATTTGTTGATTGTCTGGTCTTCTATGTGATTTAGATATGTTTGGTATAGGCCCAAAATTATGGCCATATAACTAGTGTAGCATTATCACTGGGTCACAACTCAAGCAAATTCCTAATCATTGTTATTACACCTCCTCATCTCATCAATTTACATAATGTTCCAGGCCTCTGGTAGTACAGAATTTATAAACAAACAGATGGTGAGGAAGACAGGTTCCTGTAGCAATATTTTTTTCAATATTGCCTAATGATTTCATTTTATATTTCATCATATCTACCAAAGATAATAGTGTAATCCAGAGACATTTTGATACATGAAATCTGCATAGTAAACTATTAATCCACTATTCCCATTTATATAATTAATATCTTAGAGAATTAATTCTTTGGATTGGTGGTATATGGGTTTTCCAGATTTGTGTGCATAATTTGGAAGGAAAAGGCTATAAGTGAAAGATACAAACAGCAGAAGTACAAGCCAATAACCATACCACACCACACAGGATTTGGTAAGATCTGCCCATTTATCTTTTGAGTAAATGAATAAATAAACAAATGAGCAATCATATCACTACAAGGATACCTACAGATTAAGTATATTTTTCCTCCATTTTAATCATAGTTTCACATTGATGTCAAAGGAGATCTACATATTTAAGAAATGTACATATTTCTGGAAAATATCTTTCATATAACAATGGTTGGCATGGTTTCAGGTGGTCTTTATGTACTGAGTAGTTAACAACAATAGAAAGAGCAATATCATTAAATAATATTATCTCATTTCACCCTCATAAAGCATAAATACCAATACAACAGATGAGTTATTTGAAAAGCAAGGTTAAATACTTTCACAAAATTAGTAAAGAGCCAAACCTCAAAAAAATAGTGTGATTTTACTGCAAACCTGTTTTCCAAAAATAACAGTATTACAAAAAGTATTACTATATTATAATTTTATACTGCTGGAAATTGGAAATTCTCAGTAGTTCTAATTATAGGATATATTTTTTCACATTTTTTAAAATTTTTATTTCTCATTACTAGAGCTGAATCCAGGGATCTCATGGTTGCTCACAGATGATAATTTGCTACTTGAGACATGCTTTAGTCTGGCTTTTGGAAAGTTAATTTGATATGGAGTCATATAAATATCTTGTCCAAGCTGGCTTTAAACTGTGGTCCTCAAGATCTCAGTCTCTTAAGTTACAAAGTATAGAAGCATTCACCACCAGCTTCTGGCCATGCCAAACACTTAAGGATCCCAACATATTACCAAGTGAGTAAGAAGAAAATATGAAAAAGTTAATTTCCGGAGCAAGGATACTAGAATAAGGTTTAAAGAAAGGAGCTAAAAAATACACAGACATTATGCCACCAGTTTTTCATCTGGTTAATAGCCAACAACTCAAAGCAACAACACCAAGTCATTCATTTTTTATAATTATGCAAAAATTCATATTTAAGCCAAGTGCCATCTGAACATAAGCTCATCTTCCTGTAACAAAGCTTCTTGGCATTCTGCAGTAACTTATTAGAGGCATCCTGCTGCTCAATTATATTATTCCACAGATGGAAAAATGAGTCAGTTAGGAGAAATTTCCTGAAAAGATTGCAGAATAAACCAGCTCTCTGTTTCTTCAATTACCTCTCTGTCCTCTACTCGATTCCTCCATTCCTTAATTTCATCCTCAGGCTCTTCATACATTAAATAAAAAACCTACAAGCTGTATTTTTGGTAGTTTGTATATTTTGAAGCCAATATTTTTATTGATCAAATATTTTCAAGAATTAACAAAAGTCATGAGTAAATAAGTGACATCTGCCATTTGTATAATTAGTCCCTATAATTATTTGAGTAAATGACTCTGAAAACAAACTCTGATTAATGACATTTTGCTCATGGTGAAATAAGTCTAACTTGCTTGTAGGGCTTAAGGAATAAGACTGAAACTGTACCTAAAGAAATTAATAAATAATAAACATTTAATACCAGGCTCCAGCTTTAGAATGTCAGTTGATTTTGGAGTAGCACAATCCTATTCCCAACTTAACTGATGATTTTCATAACACTGAGGGATGTATAGATAGCCAGACTTTGAGGAAGACAGCTGGGAGCACTGTAGCAGCATCCCATATTTATCTACTCTGCAAGATAGGCTTTGGTTTTGGAATTTAAACCATGAATCCTTTTTCTCTGCCTTTGTTATTCATCCCTACCAAGGATACTGCAAGTCCTGAGTATAGAAATAGTACTCATGGGAGAACTAAGTCTAGCAATAATTTCTATATTAATGTTAAGCTCTTTAAAGAATGAAGTTCAAGGATTATTGCAAGGGCAAGCTGAAGGAATTCTTTAACCACAGGAAAAAGATTCACAATGTCGAATCTTCAGCAAAGAAGAAAGAAAAGTCGACAGAAGAAAGAGGAGTCTAGCTGGAGAACTTGAGATCACTATCCTTTCTTCTGGCTATTATTTTCATTTGGGCCCGCTCTAATTTTTTTTACATCCATATCAGGCCACTTTTAGACTCCATCCGTGGTCTTCAACCCACAATAGAACACACATGTCTCATGAACATATAAAACTGACAAACAATAAATAAATGTAGCAATAACAACCAACTATCCAGTTGGCATGCTCACTTTATTTACTTTACCCTTTCAGCGTCTCCCTAAAATGTGTGTATAATATCTCAATTATGAAATCACTGTGTCATTTGCAAAATTTCTGATTATGCTTTATAAAAAGTCCAACCAATGCTAATGTGTCCTAAAATACCACACACTGCTACCCTCTTAAGGCATTTGAATGTGAAATGATCATCCACAATACCATGAGAAGAGAAGAATTAAAGAGAGATTACCTGGGGTTAAGAGGATGACTGACATTGTGATGAGCGAGCACACAACTAAAATCACCAGCAGGGCAATTGCAATTCCCTTCCAGTTTCTCTGTGGAGGGCTGTTACTTCCCAGTTCCTACCAAGACAGAAAAAGAGGTTTCATAATTACACATGCTCCAGGAGAAAAATATTCATAAAAGAATGATTCAGTGCATAGCACAATCACAGTTTGAAAGCTGATTAGAATCCATTTCCTCTTCAGTAATTCATTTAATTACCCAAAAATGCATACATTGTAAATGGCTATCTTTCATTGAGTCGGGGGAGGAATTTGATTTCTCTACAAGATAAACTAGCAGAGATTTTTTGGCCTGCTGTCTAAATTGTAGATGGTGTTCAAATGCATTGGCTATCAACACCAGGACAAGAGCCAAAATATTTTGCAGAATAATTATGGACATAAAATGTGTCCATGTATACTTATATGTGCTACAGTATATACTATGTCAACATTTAAGTGTGAACATATTTGAAATGATACTTTTCTAACTGAATGAGGGGAAAGAAGAGAATTTGAAAAGTCATTCAAAACATCCCTTACCACAGAGCAGTGAGAACTGGTTGGCCTAGAAGGTTCATTTAAAACTGTTTTACCCTCATTCATAACCCCTCAATGCAGGTAGTAACTAAATTAAATGAGTATTTATATAGCAATGATTAATGACATTGTCTTGTGGGTTAACCTGCATGATATTAGCACAAACATAGGACGACAGAGAAGAATAAACATGAGTATCTTTCACTATTCTCAAAATAAAGCTACTCGTTTGTTTTATTCAGATGATCTGTATTAAGTTCTTTTGATTGGAAATGTTAAAGCTAAACTCACTAAAGCAAAGCACAAACCACATAGACTGAAAATGAATGTCAGCTTTACTATGCAATGAAGTTTATAAAACATGGAGCCTGTCATTTCTTCCTTAAGTCTACACTTCAATCTTAGTTGATTTACTCCAAGTACAGTCTTCTTTCATCAGCAACAGCTAATTGATTTGGAGGAAAATAAAGCAAAACATGAGTGTATCCAGTTCATTACTGGAGCATAAATCACTCACAACAGAGATAGAGAAGCTTTGAATTAAACAAATATGGAATAAAAATACTTTATAGCTTGTAAATGGGTTTCTGTGACTCACAGATTAAAGCACTGATGCCAATTTTCATACCGCAATTTTGGCACAGAATTTAGCTTTCAACATAGTAAACTTAAAGAACTACACTCTCAATAAACAAAAGACTTTCAAGTAGAGGCAGTGTTTTGCAGTTTGCTTTTCTCCTTGAATCAACAACACTGTCATTCTGATTAAACATATACAGCAGGGATCAGTTCCAGCGGTTACTTGTTGCTTTGTTTGGTTTATAAATGATTCTCCATACCTATCTTCAAATGATGCAAATTTTCCAATACCTCTATTATCCTACAGGTTTTCATTTTCTACAAAACTCAAGTATGTGGCTCCCACAAATCATTAGCTTTAGAGAGATGAGACTTCAAGACAAACAATAATTTTGTGACTACAGACCTTTGTCTGGAGCACAAAATTCCTGCATGTTGGTAGGTGTGTGCTGTGTTGACCTGTGATTCTCACTAATAATGCCCTATAGAAAGACTTCTAGGAGCCAGTGACAGATGCAGGCAGATCACTGAAGTAAATCACAGATTCTGCTGGCTCTGAAAGTTACAAACACTCATTGACAGAACCAAGAGAGAATGAAAACAATAGCAATACAAGCAGAAACCAACAGTTAACACTTTCATATTCATCAACACTAAAGTATGCTAGTCTCAGAATGCAAGGAAAAGGTGTGTGGGGGAAACAGATTTAGCAGCTCTACCTCCCTTTCACCCCAATGAAAGGATCAATGGCAGAGTCACATTGATGGTTTGTGACCTGATAAACTGTCAAAATCAAGACAAACTGGAATGACTCCTGGTTGTGATGTTCAGTTTTTGAATATTATAGAACCATGTAATATTCTCATAGAGACATTGTCCAACAGAGTATTAATAACTTTGATATTTTACTATATATCTGATGTTGTACTAAGTACTTTATATTCATGACCTCATACAATCTTCATAGTTATCAAGTGACATTACTATTTTTCTGACATTTGGAGTAAAAAAATCAATAAAAATCAATTAATTACCATTAATAAATGAGAAATTGGAAAGTCTGGCTTACCATTCCCCATCACTGTAATGTGCCACTTTTAAAAATAATTATTTTCAGAATGAGTACATTAACAACTAAATCAATAAATCATCTGTATGCCTGCACAATATAATGGTTAAATAACATTTTTTGAGGAAAAACTCACAGGGATACTCTGAATTCTGTGATGCTTGAAAATAAATTCATATTTTTACAGTTACAGCACCTAGGGAACTGTATCTTTTAAAATGATGAACTCTTATTTGAGTTAGAAATATGTGTCTATCCATAAAGTGAAATGTATAGGAATGTCTTATTCTTGAAAATTCACTCAGCAAACATCTAGGCATTTCCAAATCTCAGTTTAATATTTGATGACTGCATGATCTCTTACTCTAATTTTCCATTCCCTTGTCATACTCTTTACATTCCATATTTTTCTACTATCTCTCTAATTTTGGTGACACTTGGCTTTAAAATTGGGTTTCATACTTACTGTCCTAACACTTGATTGATATTCCAGCATTGTTTTGCTGAAATTCTGAGATGAAAGCTAAAGAACTTTTCTGCCCAGGCTGGATAGAACTGTGATCTTCCAGACCACAACCTCCTAAATACTGAAGGTCACAACATAAGCATGCAACACCAACTTAAAATATTCCTGCAATATGTTTCACTATGTCAGCATATTCTCTAAAGTCTTTTCATGTCCATACTCTATGGAAAATTCAAGTACAAATGCATTATTACAAATAATTGTCCATATATCTAGCCTATGTCATCATGATGTCCTTGGGAGGACAAACTTGACCTTGGTAATCATTTCCCACACTTGATTTAATTTCCAGTCATATCTCCAATCCACTTCTAATTCTGCCCCATTCAAGCTCTTTGGTTATAAATGACTTTTTGTTGGTTGATCAGGGATAAAGGCCTGTCCAGATTTCTGTTTGAAAAGATGCCCACAGAGTTGTTTTTTTTTTAGGCTGAGACTCACTTAAGTACATAAGCAGTCTCAATGTTTACTGAAAAAAATTCAATAAAAACCCTCAATGTTTGTTAAATGGGGTAACATATTCTATCCATTCATTTCCTGCTAAATAGCTTGCAAATTTAAATTACCTTTATTTGAATGATTTCATTGTATTTATGATATGTACATTTTTATCAGTCAATAATTTCAAATCTGGATTGGTGAGAAACTGATTATTATAATTATATTGAATAATTTAAAAATTCTTGAGCAACATATGCAGGTCTGATTTGAGAAACTTTGAGACAGAAGAATTCAATAGTTAGTAGAATCCCTATAAATCATACCATGTATCACTTAACAAAATTTACTGGACTATCTAAATCAAATGCAGGAAGGTATATAAATTAAAATACAATTTGCCTCAATGAGTATAAAAGTTATTGAGGGATTTGTTAACCTTATAAATAAGGTTAAATACAAATAAAACAGAAAAATCACAAAACTTGCAATGGGATATGAAGTAGAAACTATTAATTTCCTCATATTGATATAAAATATTTACTTAACACAGTCAATATTTCCTTTCAAAAGGTAATATTGAGTTTATAGAACTATCCAAAATCTGGTTGAAAAATTCAAAGGAATTCTTTTCCATGTGGTATATTAAACAATTATATATACGCATATATGTATATATATAATATATACATGTGTGTATGTGTGCGTGTGTGTGTTATGTATATACATTTTTTTCTGATTTTCCTCTGTGGATAGATATGTGGCTCAGGCCTGTAGTCCAAGCTACACAGCAGAGAGGGAAATAATATTTTTAGTCCTACACAAGGAAAAAGTCATTTTAGCTAAATCTACAAACTGCCTTTATTTTTTTTCTTTCACCAATATGTTAATATGAGAATGTATCAGAAGATATCCCTAAGAAAGGGAAACAATTGTTCTCTAAGCAGTGTGCAAGTTAAGGGTACTACTGTGACCTTCAGACAGTCTGTTTTTTTTTTTCTAGAAAATGCTTTTTGTATATGTCATCACACTAGTTATTTTATCGTACCAAATATTTCCTAAAATTGAGATTCATAACATTCAGAATTCCCTGCTTTTCTAGTTTCTTTGATGTACAGGCTACATATTAAACAGATGACATAATCTGATCCCAAGTTTCACGTGTTAAAAAAATGGATTCTTGCCGGACACCAGTGGCTGAAGCTTGTAATCATAGCTACTCAGGAGGCTGAGATCTGAGGATCGCGGTTCATAGCCAGCATGGGCAAAAAAGTCCATGAGATTCTTATCTCCAATAAACCACCAGAAAACTGAACACGGTGCTGTGGCTCAAGTGGTAGAGCGTTAGCCTTGAGCTTAAGAGTGCAGGGACAGTGCCCAAGCTCCATGATCCCCCCCCAAACAACAACAACAACAACAACAAAAGCACTTGGATGCTTAGGCTTCCTTGGTTGCGTCTGTCCAAGAAGTTCCTCACTCCGGTGCAATCTATGAACCAACGCCATCTGAAAGGTTGTTTCATGTACAAAGAATAACATTTGGCCTTATCTCAGACATTCTGAATTTCCAGGGCCAAAGAAGCCCAAAGATGACTTCTTTTAGCAAACTCTGGAGGTGGTTTTGTTCTGTGCTGAGGCTTGAGAAGCTTCTTAAAAGCATTGATGCTCTAAGTACTGTCGTGTCACCTGTGAGGTACAGATGAAAACGGTACCATCCTACTCCAGACCTCCTGAGTTCAGGAAAAGAGATGAGAAATCTTCATTTCAACAGTCTCTCCACATGATCCCAGTGCACATGCAAGTTTTGGAACTCTATCAGAGAAAATAAGTCGTGGAACTTCTAAAATTACTTATCTCAGAGGAATTTGGTGGGTGGGTGTGGGTTTTTTTTTTAAGTCAAAATAACTGAATTTTATTCTCCATTGCT